CTTACAAAATAAAATACATAGAGGGAGAAAAATGCATTATTTCGAACATAAGCCAGTTTTTGCCTCACGTTGTTGATTCACTAGATATTTTGCCTAAACTTTTTTTTGGTCGAATGATAACTCATTCGAAAGCTTTTGAAGGAATTAACAAGTGAGAAAATAGGCTAGCTAAAGTATAACGTGAATGAATGTGTGTTCTACCGGATCGCTACCGAACATGTTGGTGGAATGGTTCGCTACCAAAGGTTGAAAAAAATAGTTTGTCAAAGCTAAGAACGTGAGAGCGAAAAAATACATGAAAGAAATCTCCGTAAAACAGAAAAAATGGTGCAGATTACACCGTAGCCGTAGATAGTCATGTAAAGAAAAGTTTGAGTTAGAGCAGCAATTTTAAGTTTGTTTTGGTCTAGGAAGTTCAAAGTACCTTTAGGTTCCATTATATCTTATTTACTGTCTAACTAAAGCATACTTATACTAATGTGGCCTCTATTGATTGATTTACTTTGTTTTCATCACTTGTTGTTCAGCGAATGAAACTAAGTAGTTAGTTTATAATTTTCCTCCTTTTCATCTTCCCTGATGGAAGTCCAGAACTTTACATAGGAACAAATAACCGTGAAGGGGTTTTGGACAAAAGTGCAAGACTTCTCGTTTTTTATCATTTTTATACAGTCAATGAAGAGTCTGTGAGAGAGTTGGCCGCTCAGCGTGTTCAACAGTGTCGACGATGAACGTTGTATCCTTTCTGCTTGTCTCACACCTTTAACTTTTATTTTAAGAATTACGCATACGCCGTAGAAACTAATTGCAAAACAAAAAGCGGAAAAGAAATTATTCTAAAGTTTGTAAGAAAATTGAATATTATTAATCTTTAGGATGTCAGTTAGTTATGCATAATATTTTGATAACTGGCAGTCGTTATCAAGGTCAAGGCCATTCATCAGTTTTAAAATTAATAATGTGATGACTTCACAAAGAATATTTATCAAATGCAACAAACTTTCCGATTAGAGTTGTCGAGATTTCATTTTAACCCATATACCGTCTTTTGGCCTAAAACGTTAGAGAGTAAGATCCAGCTACAACAATTCTCTCCATCCAGAACAGCTTCATATCCCTACGTACCTCATCGTAACTACCATCTCTGGCACAAATGTTTGTCCCGGTACTAATTCAAATTCAAATTCTTGCACTATCATCGATAACATAATCTTCGCTTCCATTAGTGCAAAACTCTGACCAATACAATTTCGTGTTCCTGCCGAGAAGGGAAGGAAGATTGTTGACTGGTGTGTTTCATTTTTATTTAGAAATCGTTCAGGATCGAAGGTATCTGCATTTGGCCAGTATTTCTCTAAACTGAACGAAACAACGAAGACTATAAGTATGAAAGCATAAAAAAACAAATATTCAACGATACTTACTGATGTAAAGTGTACAAATCCAAAAAAACGTCTGTTCCTCTCCTTATGAATATTTCCTTTCCATCCTGTGCTACGATTGTATTATCTTTGACTGCCATTCGAGTTATATTTGGCACAGGAGAGTAGAGACGAAGGGATTCTTTCAGGACAGCTTCCGTGTAGATTAGTTGGGAGAGAGTGTCAGCACTCGGAGGTTGTCCTCGTAGAATTGAGTCAATTTCTTTCTGTAAAGTTAAGAGAATCTTTGGATGTTGAGCTAAAACGTAGAGCGTCCAAGTCATCAGAGTGGAAGTCGTTTCGTGGCCAGCAATGACTGAAAGAAAGGAGAAGAGAGATAGACACCTTTCAAGAAGAAAATCTTGTTAGACTTTTTCTTACCCATCGTAGCTGATTCTTGAACGATTTCTTCAGAAGTCAGTTTTTGACCATCACTCTCAGCTGAGAGAAGTAAATCTAATAAATCTAGACCTGCAAGAGAAAGGCAAACAGTACTGAAGTATCTTCACACACTGAGAGACTCTCACCTTTACAGACTGACTGAGTCAGTCCGTGTCGTCTGTCATCAATAATCTTCTTTACAGCCGACATGAAGTCTCTTTTTGCTTCATCTATTTTCAACTTTGATTTCAATGGCAAACTTTTAACAATCGGTAAAACACCAATTAAAGTGAACATTCGATGCTCCAGTTCGCTCATTGCCGTTGCGATACTTCGATGCATAAGAGCGTGTACTTCTTTATCGTGGACCAGACCACTGCCAAAGACACAGCCAGTGACTATATCCAAAGCAAGAGCTGACATCTCCTTTCTTAATTCTAAGCTGCTTGTTTTCTGTTCATTCTCGATCAGTCTCTTCCACTTATCTAAGAAGATTTGAGTTGTTTCCACCATTAGACTTTGCATCGAAACAATATTCTGATGTTGAAAGACAGGTTGTATTATTTTACGGTGAGTAGAATGAACCGCGTCTTCACTTAAAAGAAGATTTTTCATTCCCAATATTCTGCCTAGAAACTCCGCATATAATTCTCCTTTCTTATAACATTTCACGTTTTTCTTGAGAACATAATTCATCAAAGAAGCATCACTTGTCACCAGTCGTGCAAGTGGGCCAAACTGTGAACGATAGTAAGAGCCATAGTCGCTATACTGATCGTGAAGATACTTCATTGGAGTGCCGCATCGAATGGAGCGTCGTATTTGAGCAATTTCCCCGATAAAGGGAGTGAAGCAGCCTGGTATTTGCTGTAATTTGAGAGTTCGATCGATTAAAAACGGTTGAATCAAGAAGAAGTCGAGGAACTTGTAGAGGATCAGAAGCAGCAGTGCACAGAAGAGAATGGTCATAGCTAGTAAAATATCTATCACTCAAAGGATTCAAAAAAAGGCGTTGTATAAAGGATTCTTTATAGTTACTCTTTTTTCTCGTTTCGTTTCTATCTATATTTATAACTCACAACCTTCCAAAAAGTGTAAACGCAAACACGTTGCGTTTTCTTCTTTCGTTCTTACATACTTTGAGTGCGAACTTCTTCTTCGTTCTGTGCTACGTATATCAACACAACGATACTGTCAACTTTTGAGTGAAGACTAAGCTCTCTGCAACTCTTGCAAGTTTTGTGTTGTGTTTTTAAGCTAATAAAAAAAAGAAGCAAACAAAACTGGGTGATATTTTGTTTTCACAAAATTCGCAAGAGTTCCAGAGAGCTTAGTCTTCACTCAAAAGTTGACAGTATCAGTCAATGCAGTTAGCTTATGTCAACTGATCTTCACTTCTTTCAAAGCGAAAACTTTCTTTTGATGTTTTGATTTTGAGCGTTATGATAAGTGATTGCAAGCAATTATTGATATTCGACTGTCGACCAACAGTCTGTCCTCTTTCCGTATGTATCTCCTTTTCAGGAGAAATTCTACCAGTCTTTTTAAAAAAGATGCAAAACAACGTTTTGGAAGTTAACTTGCTGCATCAAATTATAGTTAGTGAAGATTCTTCTCTTGTAGTCTAGCGAGTTTGATGACGTTCGTTCTATTTATTTATGACTAGTGGAAGTATCCGATGTCGG